CCTACAGTATTTTTACAGTCTTTATTTTACAGTTAAAATAAATGTTTATCAAATAAAGTTAAATGTTACAACTAATCGTGGATCCCATTAAATGTTATTTTTGACGAAATGTATATCCTTACAATTCGTGTTTTTTTCCCCCCAAAACAACCCTAAAAATATATTTTTTTAAATATTCGGAAAACTCACATTTTTGCACACATAATTCATGTACACCATTTCTGGTCAAATACCTCAGTGTTTACAAAATGTCAGTGGAATTTTTTGTCTGCACGAAGCCAGACTTTAAAAATAAGCGGTTTGTATCTGGATGGTAAATTCAACACTCAAATATTTGTTTGCACAAAAATCATTTTTGTTTAATTTTTTGAGTTATCCACTTGTTCCTGAAAAGTCGTGTCTTAATTCCCCACACTTAGTGCAAAAAGCAGAAATGAGATTTAAGGTTAAACCAATTAAGTTGCAGAAAAACACAATGCCTGAGCTGACAAATGCTTTGGGAAACATTCAGGCATTTTCATTGTGTGTGATTGCTTGTGTTCATGCACGGCATGTGGGTGGGGGGGTCAATTTATAGAGCATGTGCTGGGAGGGGGGGGGGATCAGTCATAGAAAGGCTTCTTTTGAGCAAGTTCTAGCTCAGGCCCCTGACTATCAGAGAGGGGGATGAGCAGAGGGACATCCATACAGAACTCCATTCAATTAGCATCTCATTATGTTACCATGACAGCCAGGCTTAAAGTCGGGAAAGATTTCCTATTACCCCATGAGAGGACTGCCATGTTTGAACAAACACGCACTCCCGTGCACACACGTGCACACAGACGTTTAAATACACGGTATAAAAGGAAAACGAGCTGTTCGTTTTTGTTTTGATCTTGTTGAGCGTTTTCACATCCCTCCTCTGTCGGTTTGCAGGGCCACTGCAGCCGAACGTGTCGAGATGAATTCATGATGGTGGCTAAAAGAAGATGGTGTTAATGATCAATTTAGGTCTTTGACTCAAACTGGAGCAAGAAAGAAAGTCCATTAACTTTTTATTTCTGCTAATTTGCTAATAGCGGAACTAGCTTCTCGTTTATAGGATTGCTTTTTTTTTAGCTAACTTTGGAAACCATTAGGGTATCGATAAGCTTCTAAATTAGGTTCCGCTAATTTTAAGTGACCAAAATAAATAAAATAAATAACTCACAATTATAAGACTTATATTTTTATGCTGCTTAACCCAAATTAAATAAAAATTATAGCCTCGTACAAGCAGTGCTGGATGTGTGGCATGTAGCATCTTTAGCCGCTAAACTTCAAATGAAGAGTGTCAAAAATAAATAATATTTAGCAATATTTAAACAAATATAAAAACTATGTATAAAATATGGTAGAGAAAGTATTTGCTGTTTGTTGTTCGACAAACTTCAAACAGTATTTATAAAAATACAAACTCAATCAAAGAAGTGCTTTTATTCTGAAAGCGTTAGAAATCAAACAAAGGTAAAACTGGTTTGGATTGGCTGATTGGCCAGAAACAATCCCGCCATTCTTCGACTGGAAGGAGATGAAGACAAGTGACAAAAGGCTTAAGCTGTGTCCAAAACGACAGGCCGGGTCCTCCGGAGGACCCAGACTCCCCGGTCGCAGTGGGCCGGGTCCTTGGTAG